ATTTGTTAATGGGGAATGGATAGATACAATACAACAATGTAAAACTCATGCACTTCCAGAAGGGGTGAGTGACCACTGTCCATTAATGGTAGAGATGATCCAGACACATGCAAGAAAGGGGAAAGCTTTTTGATATTGCAACATGTGGAGCAAACATCATGACTTCATACACATTGTTGAAGAGGGATGGACAATGCAAAGGGGGGGGGGGGTCTAAGATGTATCAAATAGTAAAGAAGTTAAAGGCTTTGAAACAGAAACTTAGAACACTAAACAAGAAAAACTTTAGTAATGTCATAAATGAAGCTAACAAAGACATAGAGGAAGTGCAGAAACTGCAAGCTATGCTATAGGAAACACAACTAGATTAGAATCTTCAGTAGAAAGAGAAAGATGCAATGGATAAGTTCAGAGAATCATCACTTATGGCAGAAAATTTCTTAATGCAGGAAAGTAAGGCCACATGGATTAGACTTGGGGATGATAATACCAAGTTTTCTTCTCCATTATTAAACAGAGAACATTAGTCCAATCAATGACTCAAATCAATGACGAGTGGAATCAACTGCAAACTGATCCTGAGATGATTGCTGATATGTTTGTCCACTATTATAAGAAGCTATTAGGTACTAATTGAGGAATTAGAAGAAATACATGGAAGGGGTTCCTAAAGCAAGGACATGTGTTATCTGTACATCAGCAATTAGAGTTGATAGAGGGCGTAACTGCACAAGAGGTCAAGAAAGCAATGTTCAGTATCAATATCAATAAGAGTCTTGGGCCTGATGGATATGGAGCAGGGTTCTACAAAGATGTATGTAGAGTGGTTGGAAAAGATATCACTGATGATGTGATAGAGTTCTTTAGCAATGGACAAATGCTCAATCAACTTAATGCAACTATGATAACTTTGATACCTAAGGCGACTAATCCAACATAAGCTAGCCAATTTCGACCTATATCTTGTTGTAATATACTCTACAAGTGTATATCGAAGGTTCTTTGTAACAAGCTTACTGATGTGCTTCCTACCATAGTAAGTGAAAATCAAGCAGCATTTATGAAGGGAAGTACATTAGTTCATAATGTCCTTATGTGTAGTGACTTACTGAGACACTACAATAGGGAAACTACACCTAGATGTCTAATGAAGATTGACTTAAGAAAGGTGTATGATATGGTACAATGGGAGTTCATTGAAGAAATGTTAAAGGGATATAGTTTTCCTGCAAAGTTTATTCAGTTGATCATGGCATGTGTAACAACAACAAAGTTCTCAGTGAAGGTTAATGGGGAGGGGTATGGATATTTTGAGGGGAAGAGGGGTCTAAGATAAGGGGATCCAATATCCTCATTGCTCTTTGTTATCGTGATGGAATATCTATTTAGGATTCTGAAGAGGATGAGCCAGCTGTCAGATTTTAGATTCCGCCCCAATATATAAGGAAAAACAACTCACTCACCTGACATTTGCAGATGATTTAATGCTGTTTTGCAAAGGGAATGAAGCAGTTGTAAGGAGAATAATGGAAGCACTTAGACACTTCTTAGAGACTACAGGCCAGAAGGCAAATACGAATAAGTCAATCATGTATATTGCAGGAGTGGATGATGAGCTAAAACAGAAATTATTGGACATCAGAGGCTACTCAAGTGGCACATTTCCTATGAGATACCTTGGTCTCCCATTATCCCCAAAGAGGTGGAGTAAAATGGATTGTCACCAATTATGTGTGAAGATTACTGAGAAGTTGAACACAATATCAAATACACTTTTCTTATGCAGGGAGGTTACAAGTGGTTGTGCTTGTACTAATTCTCACTGCATAACTTTGGGGGAGCAGTGTTCATCCTCCCACAAAGTGTGCTGAAGAAAGTAGATAAGAAATGTAGGGACTTCTTATGGGGAAGCACTACAGAGAAGAAGAGGATACCTTTAGTAGCCTGAGAGAAAGTATGTCGACCTAAGAACCAAGGTGGGCTGAATATCAAGAACTGCAAACTGTGGAACATAGCTTCTGTTGGAAAGTTAGTATGGCTACTGATTAACAAGAAGGAAGTACTATGGGTGAAATGGATACATCGCATCTACATGAGAGCAAATGATGATTTCTGGACACATCAACCAATACAGGATAGCAGCTGGTATTGGAGGAAGCTACATGGTATAAAGCAACAATTTAAAGGATGGTACATGAAAGGCAGATACTGTCTCACTAGTAATGGGAGGTACTCGATCTCAATGGGGTACAACCAACTAATAGGAGAAAGCCTAAAGTGAAATATTGCAGATTTAATTTGGAACAGAATCATGCAGCCCAAGCATAGGTTTATACTATGGCTGGCAGTGCAGAAGAAGCTATTAACAAAAGATAGAATCATTAGCATGGGAGTTCTGTGTGCAGATGGAACATGTGGACTATGTGACCTGAACAGTCGTGAAGATGTGCAACACTTGCTCTTACAGTGTGCATGGACAAAAAGGTTATAGGAAGAAGTGAAGGAGTGGACTAGAGTGCACATTACACAACATGATCTCCCGATCACATTGATGAAGATCAAGCGCAGAAGATGGAGTAAATTCAGAAAAGAAGTGATGGCTGCAGTGGTTGGGGCTGTGATATACAATATTTGGCAGAGTAGGAACTTACTCTTCTTTAGGAAACAGAAAGTTAGTAGGGATTTTGTATTACAACAGATAAAGAGTATAGTTATAGAGAGGATTCAAATGTATAGGGAGGAAAAATTAGCTAGGAGATGCATAGATTTCATTGAGCAAATTTGTAAATAGATTGCGAGACCTACTGCTGCCAGCAATGCGAGGCTGGTGTTTGGGGTGCTCTTTAGGTGTATGAGTTAATGTGGTTTGGAAATGGTAATATTTATAGTTATTACCAAAAAATAATAACACGTTTCTCAATTTAGAGTTTAGTTCTTGATAGCAAGTGTTGCACTTAAGAACTTCCAAAAATCTTGTTTAAGATTCTTGATTAGATATCTGCACATAATACACAAAAATATATAAATAAGCATTACAATTTTGGGGATTAGATTTTTCAAAGAAAAAACCCAAAAATAATGAACCACACTATTCCTTGTCAAATCAATCCACCAACAACAACACCACGGAACAAATTAAATTGGTCACGCAAGTTGGACGGATATCATTGTTTAAAAATTAATTTATTCATACATAACCATTGTTATATTCATATATATATATATAATATATGAGGAAAGAAATAAATAGAAGATTCGTTATTCTAACATATTTCTGAAGTAGACATGGAAGCTGTAATAGCAAGATTACCCTGCATTGGAGGTGGAGTTGGCATGATTTGTGTTTGCAAGAAGACGATTACTTATTGCCTCTCTGTTATAGAGGTGTTGTTGCTACAATAGTGTTTCTTTCTCAAGCACTGTCATATCATTATATATCCTGCAGCTTTTGACATTCTTATCATGAGCTTCTTTCACCGTGTGTGGGCTTCTTCTTTTTTTCTGTAAAAAATTCATCAATATGAGCATTCATTTTTGTCCAAGAGTCAATACTATAATCCTACTGAAAACCTATAACATTATGATTATTCTTTTTTATTATGCATAAAGGAACATTCACAACACCACAAAATATAACCAGTGTAGTCAACTTCTCATATTATTTATTATATATAAAAAAAAATAGATAGCACCTACATAGAAAAATAGCAAATAATCATAAGAATATTCGTTTTTTTTTTCCAGAATTAAGTAATTAGAACACGCAAATGAAAATGCTCATGAGGAAAGAGTAGAGTAATTAGCAGAGGAAAGAATAAACCAATAAGTTCAACAAAGGTAAAGCAACAGAATAAAAATTAAAACTGAAAAATATCAGATTTGAACCAGAAATTTTGGATCAGAAGTTTCAAAAGAAATACACCTTTTAGTTTTTGATCGAAAAAAGGAAGAAAGTTACCAACTTCAGTGTCAATAAATTAAATCTCAATTCAGATTATTTTCATTTTCCTCGGCTGCAATTTTGACAATATCGTAATGAAATTTCCAGCGGTTGGATCAACACTTGATGAATTATAAAGCAAATAGAGAGAAGGGACAAATCAAAGTTTATGAAAATTAGAAGGAATACATGAAACTTTCATGATAAAGGATGGGAAAATCAGGGGTATTAAATAACATGATAGAAAGAAAAAGAAGAACAATGAAAGGGATAAAACTAAAATGGGAAAGGAATACAAAAATAAATTTCGTTTTCTCCCCTATTTTTTGTTTCATTGCTTTTCCTTTCATTTTCTTTTACTTGAATAGAAGAAAAGTTCATTAAATAAAAGTTATATCATCTAATGAATGCAAAACTAAAAGAAAATACAAGTTCTTAGTTACATGTTTTTGAAATTAGACTAAGAGGATCCTGATTAACCCCTCCTAACACAGAATATACGAAGAACTTTTTAAGGAATATTTGATATTAAAAAAAGTAGTTCATTTAAGCTCTGATTCTATTAAAAGCATTTATATTGTAATCTATTAATATATAGAATTAATTTTCTTGTTCATATACAATAACAATAACAACTATATGCATATAATTTTTGACCATCTCTCAAATTTTATACCATTTAATGCTTAGATATTTATTTTAGGTTTAATATTGATATTTTAATTTTTAGTTCATTTTTTGCTTTGTTTTATCGTAAAAATGAAAACTACTTAATATTTTTTTTATTTTAGCTAATTGGTATTTTATCTAGTTAATTTTAGTTTATCTTACTTTTCATAAAAGTGAAAATACTAATATAGTTTCAATATTTTGATTTCAAAAGATAAAATGAAAAGTTTCAAAAATATTTTCACTTAGTTCAGTGTTACTTTTAAGGTGTAGGCCTTTAATAAAAAATTTAGATTTTTAAATATAGTTATTTTGTTTCTTTCTTTTAATGTCCTATTAGTTTAGATAATTCACAATTTTGTTTCATCTTGAAAACAAACAAAAAAACAAAAGAGGAAGAAAACGGAAAAAAGCAAAAGGAAAAATCAAGAAAAGAAAGGAGACCACACGCTTTTGGGGATAAACCTTTCTTCCCTTTCAAGAATTTTCCGAAGTTCAATCTCACACCATAGCTTCTGTAGCAGATCCCCTCGCCGTTAATCACCAAAATCAACATCATCACCGCCGTCCTTTTTTTCCGGAACTGATTCACTCACGTACTACACCGGTGTAAAACAAACACCTTAGAAATCAATCCAAATAACACCAGAAAAACTATCAAATAATTAATACCATATAAGCATTGGGTCATCAACAGACAGAGTCGATTTGGCGTCTTAGTCCAGCTGAGTTGAGTTCCTGCTCGTACCACTTGCTGTCGCACCTTGAGGTCCATTCTTCCTTTGACTCTGTTTTGATTATGTTTATTGCGTGTTATTTTGATTGAGTCAGATATGATAATTACTTGAGTTGTTGATTGAATCTTCCCTGGTTGAATACACGTTGGGTATTATCAGTTAATAGGTTGTAGGTGCTAGATTAACTAATTGTAACTCTTCTGTGTTAGCATACCTTTCCCTTGTTTAATTATTCTGTTTATGTTACTTGACTATTCATTTTCCTGATGTTGCTTAATTAGTTAGTTGCCATGGATTATATTGATATGATTTTATTTAGTTTGTATTAGCTTAAAATTTGTAGACACCATAGCTCATCAAGTAATTGAAAACGTGAAGGAAACAATGAGAAGAATTTGACCTCAAATGGACCTCAAGAAGAATTTGGCCATGGGATTTATAAATTTAAAGAATTTGAGCTGAGATGAACACAAATTGAAAATGTTTAGATACGGTTTGGGTGTGGGTTTAAAGTCATATCTTGTTTTCGACTGCTACTTTATTGTGGGTACGATAGGTGCATGTCTTAGGCCGTCAACACTTGGATAGGCAAACTTTAAGATTTTCTGTTTCTCTTGAGGTTAGAGGTTGTCCCTTAGTTTATTTTTTTTTCCGAGGAATGCCCCCATGAACTCATAAATATTTTTAGCAGGGGAATACCCATAGTATTATGTAATTGAAGGCTAAAGGCGGACATCGTTTGAGGAGGCTAGAGATAGGACTCTTAGTACTTTTTTTATTATTTTATTTTCCTTTTTATTTTTCCTTTAATTAGGTGGGGACAACCTCGAACCTTTTTTGTGCTTATTTTTCCTTTTCTTGTGTTTTTACCTTAATTAGAGTATTCTTAAAAGTCAACTAGATCATAGATGCAACCATGTCTTTCACGGGACATGGGAAATGCCTAATACCTTTTCCCTGAGTCAAATGAACCCCCTTATTTGGAATTTCTGGTGCAGACTATGTTTTAGAGTCTAAATATGTTTTAAAGGGAAAAATCATTTTTCTTTTTAAAATGGTAACTTGACACACCGAAACCAAATGTCAAGTGACGACTCTGAAAATCTTTTGAAATACAACTTTCGTCACTTTCTGTTGAAATCCCTTTGAGCTTTACAAATTACATTATCTCTCTTTCAAAGGGGTTATGGTAAAAAAAAAGGGATGTGACAACAATTATGCCTCAGTCCCAAACAAAGTTAGGATTGGCGATATGAATCATAACTTCTTCTTTATTTATATAATTGAAAGATATTATCTCTTCCAAAGATTTTATAAAATGAGTAGATTTTTCAACCACCGCGCGAAGTGCGAAAAATTCCCTAGTTTGGATAATAAATTCATATTCATAATACTATCAATAAGGAGGTTCTTTTAAACAAAAAGGTTTGGATCATAATAGTGGTAAAAATTAGATATTCGTTTCTCTTATTCACACATCCGCACATTCTCATTTAGTTGTGGATTTAACAATACTAAAATAATAAGTGGAAATGGTGGTTGCATTTTAGAAATCTGTAGTTTCGTACAGGTAGCAGAACTTCAGAAGCATAAGAAAAAAGTCGGAGCATGAATTGGGGAACAGCGTCGGCATCCATTTCACTTTCACTTTTCATAATCTCGGCACCAAATCCAATTATAAAAGCGAGGCCTCAATTACGATGCAAACCCATAATTACAAAATCAAACTTTGACGGCAAGTGCAGGGCGCTGGGAGAGTCACAGTCCCAGACGACCAAACCTACAGTTTATCAAGGGGTTTATGGCCCTTGGACTATTGAAGACGCCGATATTCGAGAGGTAAAACCATCTGCACCTACTTCTTGAGTTGTTCTATTCTAGTCCGTTCCACCACATTGTTGCTCCAAGTTTAAGGAGAAACTTATACAATTAGTTATCTCGGTGTTATATCAGAATTTACGCATAGCGCAGTTGATCAATCCTAGCTCACTTTGTTAGTGACGCCGCAATTTAGCTATCTAATAGACTGAAATCGGTAAGCATCCATTTTCACAATGTTAATGAAGAACAGGATTCTTCCTGAATGAATTTTGCAAGTCAAAACAAATGATGAATGCAAAATATTTTACCACATATTTCTTCTATCAACAATCATATAGCTAACTTTCGATGATGCATATCAATTTTGCAGGTAATTTTATATAGATCGGGATTAGTAATTGCGGCTGCATCATTTGTTCTTGCATCTTCTACGGCTTTGCTTCCCAATGATTCAGTCTTGAGCAACTTGATTGGGAGAAATCTTGATTTATTTTATGCAATTGGATCTTGCGGACTTGGTCTGTCATTATATCTTATTCACATTTATGTGACTGAAATTAAACGTACTCTTCAAGCTTTATGGTTGCTGGGTGCTCTCGGTTCATTGGCAACATATTCTACCCTTGCTCAACCGGCTGGCATGAATTTAGTTCAATATGTTATCGAGAATCAAACAGCTGTTTGGTTTGTCGGACCGCTATTTGCAGCATTGACAGGACTTGTCTTCAAGGAAGGTTAGGTTTTTAGTTACATCTTTATAAACATGCAGTTATGAGGCCAATTGAGTTTGCTTATTATTTATCTATTGTTGTTCTTTTTAGATGAAATCTTTTATGATGAAATGTTAGAAAACTCTGAATCCCATGTTACAAATAACAGATCCTCAAATATCTTATCCAACCCAAACCTGAAATTCAAGATGGAATTTTTTGTGTTTTAAGGGCCAAATAGATTGAAATAACATTAGCATGCAATTATTTTAAAAACACCCTCAAATAACATGGAATGGCTCCAGCAAGAAGATCTTTACAGTTAGGTCAGCTTACTCCCTATACACGGGACAATCAGGAAGGATCCAACTGGCCTTGGAAACAGATTTGGAAAGTCAAGGCCCCATTCAAAGTTAATTGCTTTGTCTGGATGGTGGCACGGAAATCTTGTTTAACCCAGGAAAACTTAATGAGAAGAGGAATCCTACTGAGCTCCAGATGCTACTTGTGTAAGGTCGAAACAGAGAGCAACAACCACTTATTTTTGCACTGCAGAATAACTCTGCAACTCTAGCACTAGTTTTTCAGTAATTGGACTTAGATGGACTATGCCACAGTCAACAATAGCTCTTCTGCAATGTTGGAACAATTGTGGGTAACAATGTCAGGCAGAAGAAATGGTGGAATTTGATCCCAGCCTGTATCTGGTGGATAGCCTGGAAGGAGAGGAATGTTAGGTGTTTTGAAGAGAAAGCAGTTCTATCCAGAAGATGAAGTTGGATTTTTTTGGATAACCGTGGTGTTCGGGCACCTTGACTAATTTCACGAGATACTTGCCACCTTCTGCCAGCAACATGTACCAGGTAACTATATCCACCAAGGCTTGGATAGATGGGAAGAAATCACATAGTATTTTTTGCCTCCACTGGGATTTGAACCGGAGACTTGATGGTTCTCACCCACTTCATTGACGACTAGGCAACACCCTTGGATGCAAGATGAAGTTGGATTGTATGCTGCTTTTTCATTTTTGGTGTAAAGAAAGCTATTTAAGTGATGATGAATCCATACTAGACATTTTAGAATCCTTGTAACATGAACAAGGCATGTTTAGTTAGCTGTTTTTGCTCTTTTTGTTTCGGAATATGTACAGGGGCTACAACATCCCCTTTATGCTGTCGATATATACAAGTGTAACCATTCTAAAAAAAGTGCTTTAATAAAAACTAGTACAAAATAATGATAAGTTAAACTAAAAGGACTTCGTAATGCTGAGGTGATGATCACTTATAAGATTAGAAATCTTATACTTAAGCTAATTAACAAGGCCGATAGTTGAGGATGCAAAAAAGATATTAGAGATCATAGATCTTTGTATTGTTCCCTACAAGAGGCTTCTGAAATTGTATGGAGAAGTCAACATTATCGTCTGCTCTCTGCCCTACCATCTGAAGGATCTAATCAAACCAAGGATGTCTGGATATGTGCATGGCAACAAGGTGTCATTATTGGCGAATCTAACAACTTACCAAATTGGACAACTGATTAGCTGATTCACATCATCCTCAAACTATATCTGTGGAAAACAATTGGCAACCTTGAGATTGAGTGTTTTCCATCAATTATATCTCTACAATTTCACCTACAACAGCATAATATTATCCTACGGTTACTGGTTTAGAACTGATTTGTTGTACAAATATAAATTTGGTTTGCAAGTTTTAGGTTTGGAGATATAACAAAATATATGTTGCTTTTCTTTCAGAATAAAAGAACATACTGTTTGTCCCTTAGTTGTAGTTGTCATGAGCAGTTATTATATATTATTTATATGTCCAAATTTTACTGCTTTTTAACTTCGACTTTCTGTAAAACAGTCTGCTCATTTGAGGATCTCCGAGTTAATTTTTTGTTATCTTTGAAACAGGACTTTGCTATGGAAAGTTGGAAGCTGGCATTCTGACATTTGTCATCCCTTCACTCCTACTTGGGCACCTGGTAAAGTTTGCAGCTATGCTGCTAACCCTAAAATTTCATTCTATATAGAGCTATTTAGTTTTAAACTCGAAATATACTTTCCCAAGCTTTGCAACTGAAGCGTCAATCCTCCAGCGACAGGAAACGACAACTCCTGTATTTTACCCCTGAAGATCTTGAGATGCTCCAATTCAAACTTCTTTTTCCTCTTTTGGCCAGCACTCAGATTGTTGGACTAGCCTCATAACAGTTGAGAAACAAAGGAAACGGCCAAGAGATGAAAACATGACTGGTTTTCATTTTCAATTTCACTTTATAATATCTATTTGTCCAAAAGCTATGTTCAATCTACGAATTAGGGTCTAAAATCATATTTTCTTGTTGAAATAGTTTTTTATCAAATATTATAATGATCTTAGGTGTATCTTTTGGGTTACAGACTGGTCTGATGGATGATGGAGTAAAGATCACCCTATTGAGCACATGGATGGCACTGTTTGTGCTCTTTGCTGGGAGGAAGTTCACTCAGTCTATCAAGGTAGATCCCATCCATTTGCTTAGTTGTGATCTTTAAACCTACCCGTTTTACTTTTTCAAATTTAATAAAAAACCCAGCTTAATCTCGTACGTGGGGTGTGGGGAGGGTAGTGTGTACGCATCCTTACTCCTACCCTATAAAGACAAAGAGGCTGTTTCTTATAGATCCTCGGCTTAACAAAAACCACCAAGTATCATGTAGTTATCAATGTAGATCCCCAAGAATAAATTCCAGTGACAAGTTCTAATCACTTCACGGGTACTCTCTGTCTCTCTTTGTATTTCAGGATGATATTGGAGACAAATCAGTATTCATATTCAACGATTTGCGAGAGGAAGACAAAGCTAATTTGATTGAGAAGCTTGAGCAGCAACGGCAAACTATGAAAGAGCCTTGATTAGGATGTATTACTGATCTTATCCCTCATTGAAAATATTACTTGTATAGTTGTAAACGACTTGTCCAAATATCTCTATAAGAAAGAGCATTGGCAGGTAACACTTGCATCTCTCTTGAAGATTTCGCTAATTTAGCCAAAGATAACTAGCCATATCTACAGCTTCAAATGATGAACTGTGATTTGGTCGAAAACTCTACTTATCTGTGAATACCCACTACAAATCATCTATATCCATAACAGTCACCCACGATACTGATTGGGACCTTTGTTATTGTTACGTATGGGTGTAGTAGTCAGAGACATGGTAAATAACTAGTAATCCTCAACATAAATGAAATTTCCTTGAATCATAACTCCATAAAGAAAGTGCAAAATGGTTGTGTGGTTCAAAGTCTTAATCTGCATTGGGAAAGAATACTAAAAGATCAGCAGGCTACTCAGATATATATCCTTTTAACATTCAAACACGCTGCATAAATGGGTAGGGGAGAATGTTTTTGAAATCTAACAAAAACACCAAAGAACTACTTTATATAGGTCAGAAAGGGAAAAAAGGAATTGGCATGATTTGTGTTTGCAAGAACACGATTACTTATTGCCTCTCTATTATTGAGGTGTTGTTGCAATAATAGTGTATCTTTCTCAGGCATTGTCATATTATTGAGGTGTTGTTGCAACAATAGTGATCCCACAGCTTTTGACATTCTTATCATGAGCTTCTTTCACCGTGTGTGGGACTTCTTTTTTCTGTCAAAAATCCATCAATATGAACATTCATTTTTGGCAAGTGTCAATACTATAATCGTACTAAAAATCTGTAACATTATGATTATTCTTTTTTATTATGCATAAAGGAACATTCATAACATCACAAAATATAACCGGTGTAATCAATTTCTCATATTACTTAGGATAAAGGTTCAAAAATACCCCTTTACTATGCGAAAAGGTTCATTTATGCCCTCAATTATACTATCGATCCACCATTACCCCCGACATTATAAAACTGGTACAAAAATACCCCTCCTCCGATAAGGCCCTCTACCATGACCAACACCATCCCACATGGCCTGACATTTTGCTTAGGTGGCTGCCACCCAATATGCCGTCTCACCGCTCCAACTCCATTTTATCCCCCCCCCCCCCCCCCCCCCCCTACTTCTTCTTCCACCACCATATTCCCCTTCATCCAACATCTCTTTAATATAAAATCCCAACAGTTTTTGGGTGAATGAGCCTTTCTCCTACTGAACCTTTGATTTCAAGCATACCCTCCATCAGCATATTTTTTAACATCAGCTAATTAAATGTTGAATGAACTACAACATTTTTCTCTTCGACTATCACCAACAGTGGGTGTGCCTTTATGATTTTGGTAAAAACAAGAAAAGTACAGTACATCATGTACATTTAGAAGACATCCCCTTAAAAAAATTAAATAAATCAAAAGGCTTTCATTGAAAACACACCAAAATCATAGCTAGTGTGTAATCATGAGAAAGCAGTACGTTCAAAAGCCATTAATTGGGGAACCTCAGTTTCACGGAGCAAAAACAGTGATTTTGGTGAAAACTTAAACACATTAGCAGACATGCCAATTGCTTAAATAAACCAAAATATAAGCCTCAAATTCCTTTTAAGAATAGAGAATAATGTGTTTAATTTATAAAAAAGAAAATTTAAGAAATGCAGCTTTGCCAATTGCAAACCGTACTCTATGGAAGCACTAATATTTAGCATGGATGTCAAACACACCCTGGGCTTGGCACACATTATTAGTTACGGTCCTAAACTATTCGTGGTCTTAATTGCCCCCTACGCTTGGCATTTTGAGAGTCATCACTCCTAGACGCTGATGTGGCAAAGCGTGTGGGTGCACTCTCATTTAAGCGCGTGAGAGCGAAGAAAAATTAAAAAATCAACTTTCAAATAGGTTATTTTTTAATTTTTAATTATCATATAATCATATATAATGATTATTTGTTACAACTATGTATTTCTTCTTGCTTCATCTTAACATACAATGTGTACTTTACTCTAACTTTTATTCTTTTTAATTTCTTCTAAGATATAATGTTTATTTGTTCCAACTGCATATTTCTTTTATTGTTTTTGGCTGAATTTGTAAAACGTTTTGTAGGAACTGCATAATTTAGCCAAATAAAAAACTTTTAGCAAAAATAATGGAGTACCAGTTGTGTATATTTCCTATTTTTTTGTTTCTTTATATATAATGTCTATTTATTTTAATTGTATATTTTTATTTTCGAGTCAAATCAATAAAACGAATTGGATACAACTTCAATATTTTTTACCAAATAAAAAACGTATAGCCAAAATAATGAACTTGCAATTGTACACTCTTTTTATTTCTTTTTTTGATGCAATGACTATTTATTTCAACTGTGTATTTTTACCTTTTCAAGTAAAATCTGTAAAAAGAAAAAAATAAATTTAGAGCACCATAATTTAGAGCTATATAAAAAATTATAGCTAAAATAATAAAGTTCAAATTATGTATTTTTTATAAATTTTTAGATGCCTTGATGTCACGACCCCAAATTCCCTCCGTAGGATGTCGTGATGGCACCTAGTCTCTAAGACTAGGTAAGCCTATCAATGCGGAATAATCATAAATATCTGAAATAAATGAACTACAATTCAAATAATTACAACTCCCAAAATCCGATAGAAATAAGTCACAAGCTTCTAAAAATTTATTCTTAATGTCTCTATGTATCAAGGTCTAAAGAAAAATAAGGAAGCAACATAAAAATGATAGAAGGGGACTCCGAAGTCTGCGGACTATGGAAGATATACCTCGAAGTCTCCGTGCGCAGGTAACTCACTGGCGTCTAGACTGGTAAGATGTACCTAGATGTGTACAAAATAAATGTGCAGAAGCGTAGTATGAGTACACCACAGCGGTACCCAGTAAGTGCCAAGCCAAACCTCGGTAGAGTAGTGACGAGGTCAGGTCAGGCCCTACTGGAGAATAGATAATGACATGAAAAAATATTTAAACAATTTAATAAGATAAAATGACTATGGAAATGAATCAAATAGTATGTCACATTTAATTACACCAAATAATTGTAAATAATATCTTGTGGAATCAAAACAGAATTTCTTTCAACTTTATGAAAATCACAACAATTAATCGAAGGTAACTATGGCCATAAATCAATATCAACAAGGGCACTACCGAGGTACCGCCTCGTAGTCCCAAATCATAAATAAATTCACAATATCTCATTTCCTTATCTCACCGCGGGAGCCTTCATAATTTATTTGAAAGAAAATATTTTTCCCAAAATAGCATCCCGCATTTTAGCCACCCTTATCACACCGCATGCGTTTCAACACCCAGACCTTATACCACCGCATGCGTATCAATATCACAATATATCACAATTTGCACCTCAAGTGCCCAAATATTTTAATTTGCCAAAATAAATCAAAGATATTTTTCACAATAAAGAGCTCACGGCTCATGCCAACATAAATTATCAATAATATTTTTTCACAATAAAGAGCACACGGCTCCATCACAATGAGTACAAAAAAATCTTACAAAAATATTCAGGAATAAATAATTTAGCAAAATAATATTTCAAAATCTTTAATACGTTGCTTCAATACCAAATTTAAAATGTCAAATACTTCATATTAATAATATTTAATTTAAAGAAAATCAATTTCAAATAATGCACAGAATAAAAGAAACCAAGTTTCAACCAAACAGGTAAAACAATTAGCAGAAAAAGGTCAAGCAAATTTAAAGCATACAAATCAAATCAATGATGGAGAATATAACAAGATTTAATAATTTAATTAATATGCAATAATGATCTTCATAATTTAAACACATAATCCTTCACATTTAGTCCGTGTATACACTCGTCACCTCGTGTACACGACTTTCATCACATTACAATTAATATCAATCCTAGGAAAAATTTCCCCCACACAAGGTTAGACAAGTCACTTACCTCGACTTGCTCCAATTTAACCAAATAGTATGCTTTTTTCTCAATTTTTCGATTGCGGTCGACTCGTATCTAGTTATAATTAATTCGATACAGTCAACAAAAATTATAGAATCAATTTCATAAGAAAATACTATATTTTCAATAAAATTCGAAATTAACTAAACATGGCCCGTGGGGGCCACGTTTCGGAATCCGGCGAAAGTTACGAAATATGAACGCCCATTCAACTACGAGTCCAACAATACCATTTTTACAAAAATCCGACATCAACTTGACCTTCAAATTTTAAATTCTCATTTTCAAATCCCTAGGCCCAAATCCTCTAATTTCATCTAAAAAATATGTAATCTATTCGAAATATTCATTGACTAACAATGATCACATGTGAGTACCTCAAGTTTTCCCATGAGTTCTCTCTGAAAAATTGCCCAAAACCGTGTTGAAAATGTCCAAATGACAAAAATATCGGAACCCCTCTGTTTTTGTAATTTGGTCAGTGCTTTCGCACCTGCGGACAAAATTCTCGCACCTGCGGTCCCGCATCTGCGGTGAAATACTGCATCTGCAAAAGTTGCTCAGCCCAGCTGCCTTCGCTTCTGCGAGCTTTGGACCGCATCTGCGCCTTCGCAGGTGCGGAAAATCCCATCGCACCTGCGGACATGCCCGCACCTGCGCCCTTCCTCTCGCTTCTGCGCAACATGACCCGCATCTGCGGCTCCAACTGGGCAGCCCTTCGTCCGCTTCTGCGAGCCACAGCTCGCATGTGCGAGTCCGCACCTGCGGTCAGTCCCTCCGCAAGTGCGATGATACGAGAAGCTGCAAATTTCAGAATTTGCCTACGTCCAAAAATTGATCCGATTTCGATCCGGATCGCACTGGGGGTACTCGGGACCCCGTCCGAAAATACCAACAAGTCCTAAATCATCATACGAACTTAGTCGAGTCTTCAAATCACATCCAACAACACTAAAAACACGAATCACACATAGATTCAAGCCTAATAAATTTTACGAATTTCTAACTTCTACATTCGATGTCGAAACCTATCAAATCAAGTCCGATTGACCTCAAATTTTGTACACAAGTCATAAATAACATAACGGAGCTGTTAA